CCGGGGCGCCCGGCCCGGCCCGACCCTATTGCCCCGTTCTCTCCCAGCGAGCAGGAGCGCGCAGAGGCGGCTTGGCCCAGGCTGCACCCCGACTCCGGCCCTGGACTCGCAGGTGGGGGCGCCGCCGGTGGACGTTCCAGACCGACCGTGGCTGCCCGTGAGGTTTGTTGGCCCGAGCGCTTCTGCGCCCCGTCCGTGCGGGCCCCGGGGTCCTAAGGGAGCCCCCCACCCGGGGAAGTGCCTGCGCCCAGTTCCGCCGCCCGGGCAGTGCCCTGCAGGTGTGGAGTCCGGGGCGCCGCGGCCCAGCAGCCCCGCGGCGCCTGCCACGCGGGCGGAGACCAAGTGGCTGTTTCTACACCCGGCGCTTAGATCAGTGGGCGCTGGGCATGGCCTGTGGCCTGACATTGCCCGGCGCTGCGCCCCGCCGCTCCCCTGTGCGGGAAGATGCCGCAGGCTGGGCTCTGCGTGCACCAGCGGGGTGAAGCGGGCGGGGGACAGCAGCATCTCGAACAGGGTTTGAGGGCACCAGTGGCCTCTGAAGTTCTGGGGCAGGGAGGTCATAAACTGGAGTGCTGCTTCAGGCCCTTGCGGCCATCCTTGGCCCCGGGCCGTCCGCTGGAGGCCGCCAGCCTGGGCAGCTTGCCCACCTCCGGAAAGGAAGGTGAGCAGGGCAGTTGAGGGCATGCTTCGGAGACTGGGTGCCCAGGCCCTTGGGGACCGCGCTCACTGCCTGCCACCCCTAAAGAGTTGTGGGCCGCTCTTGGCCTCAGCCTGCACATCCTCTGGGCCTGAGAAGTGACACTGGGTGGTGGGTACAGACGGGAGCCTGGGCAGGCAGCAGCCAGGCCGGGGGCTTGGGAGGTGAGTAGTGACCGTGGCCCAGGTGTGCTGCTGGACAGGTACCCAGGAACTGGGATGCACAAGTTCATGCCCTCGCCGCCTGCCCTGGGGGTGCTGGGTGACAACCCGCTGGGAGCCAGGCACCAGCTCAAGGAGGGCAGGGGCAGAGGTGACGGGATGTTGGAGGTGGGTGGGTGGTTCTGGGGGTGAATCCCACCAGGAAGGAGGTGGGTTGGGTGTGGCAGGTACTGAGGCTGCCTGACGGCCCGCCCTGTCTTTGCATTGCAGAGGCCCCGCGAACTGCCGTCCTGAGGCCGCCGGCCCCCTGGAGGAGCCGCATGGGCCGGCTCGGCGAGGCTGGGTTGCTGCCCCTGTGGGACCCCTGCCCAGGGTACACGAGCAGCCCTCCAGGAGCGGGGCCCTCCAGGGGACGGGGATACCCGCGCCCTGGACTCCAGGCGCCTGGGGCTCGCAGGCAGCTGTGGGCTGGGCTGGCACACACTCCTGGGCCCTGGTGGGTGGTTGGCTGGGTCCCCTCTTAGAGGGGGGCACTGCACCACCTCCTTGGCGGTGGGGTGTGAGGACTTAACGAGGGAGCGCTGCGTGGAGCCAGGTCAGACCGGAGGTCTGGAGAGTTTCTGCAGCCTCCGGGCTGGCGTGGCTGCGTCAGCGGAACTGGAATAAAGGGGCTTTGGGTGAGCCTGGACTCGTCCTTCTTGGGCTGCTGAAGGCACCTGCCCGCACGGAACCGGAACCTGGGCTCTGCGCCTCGCCTCGCGGCCGCTTGCGTCTTAAGAACAGGCCCTGGACAGGCTGCGGGCCCGGCGGGCGGGAGCTTTAATGGCGGGCGAGCGTGTG